ATTATATATATATATATATATTTGTATATATATTGTGGTCCGGTTGACAGCCATATGATGTATTTTAGCCCAGAGGGTGATCGTGTATCATTGTTGATTACATTACATTTAACTTTCTGTACTTACTGGCAATCTTTGTACCCCAGGTTTACTCAAATAAAACCGCAAAGTTTTTTCGCAAGATTTTGCAAACTGATGAAGTTACATTTAACTTTCTGTACTTACTGGCAATCTTTGTACCCCAGGTTTACTCAAATAAAACCGCAAAGTTTTTTCGCAAGACCGCATTTTGCAAACAAATAAATTTGATGTTATCTGTCAACATTGGCTGCTACAACTTTGGAACCAAACGTTGAATTCTGGAGTATTGTGCGATAGGACAACTTGAAATTTTGCTTCTACTCTAATCTCCATTATTCCCGTCCTCAATTGGGTAAATAAATTTGAGGCCGGTAATCAAAAATAGTCATTTTTGAATGGGCTTAGATGAGCGTAAAATATACGGGAAACGAAGCGGTCGACATCGAAACAGTAGTTGAAGTAAACGGAACTTGACAGAAGCGTCTGATTGCTACACAGCATGTGGAAAAACAAATCGGTTGACAACCATTTTAAGTCTCGTTTGCAAGAGAAAAAAAGAAAAAGCTCCTCGCTTTTTATATGATTTTTTTAGGGCTTTAACCAGCTACAATAATACCTGATCAACAAAGGAAAGCATGCCAACTCCAGGTCAACAAAAATGACACTAAGGAACGTAGTGAGGTCTATGCTTTCCATGAAAGACACTTATTTCATGGTAGTGCCCAGTGTGATGCGTTGACATAAGTAGTTGATCCCACCCATTCATAGGTACGCCAGACTCCTATATTTGAAGGATAGAATAGTATTTAATACAGCTATGTTAGCAGACCAATCCTTTCTGACCTGAATAACGTGGAAATAGACACTATTAGTACGAATCAGGAAGCAAATCCTTGGTCCACACTTAGATGCGTAAAAGCTTGCTTCCCGCTGACGTACTCCAACAAATCAATGACAGCAGATGCTGCATCACTTCTTACGTATATACTCAGACTGCACACCATCTCGCCGCACCTGTGATTAAGAGATTAACGGCTGGTGCTTATTAGTGCCATTAACGCGCTCATCGTGTAAACTCGACGTCGGATTGGGCTTTGGAATATTTGCTAATCCGCTAAGGTGAGTATGAAATTGAGCTGATTACCAATATATCACAAGGGTATTTTATTCCACTGTGTATGTTCTATATCATGCTCAACGCCCCCACGAAACTCCATTCCCAGGCACTTCCAAAAAATTTTACTTCAGTGAGTGTAAACAAAAAGACATCTTTGGGTTTTCCAAAAAGCGTGGCCTTTGATCTCAAGTGGGTTTACTCTGTCTTCTTGTTTAAAGTATGTGTGATTAGAGCCACGTTTAAAATTACCTAAATAGTAAACTTTTTTACTTTATTTTAGAATAACACCCCTCAGTACATGAAGGGTGGACCCACAAATCACACAGACGCATTAACTATTATTAGATTAGGCAGAGATATGGGGAACAAATATGGGTGTCGAATTCATATATACAGACATTGAAACGTTCGCTTGCACGCAAGTTGGGGAAACACTACTCCGGTTTGCCAGAGTACGAATCCTGTCCAGGAACTCAGGCATCTTCACTGCTTTGATTAAACATGGATACGCTATCATGCTTGTCTAAACCACCTTATCTTTTATGTTCCTTGAATCGTTAAAACTAGGTATCAACTTGATAGAATCCAGTTATTTATTTTAAGACATCAAATCAAACGATTTATCTAACGTACTACTAACAGGGTTACCTTACACCTTCGCCATTACCCTTTACTTTTATGCAAACCAGCGTCCACGGATAGGAAAAAATTTCCTGAGCTTGCGAAATTTTTTCATGACTAAAGTTGGCACAGCTTACTTTTTTCAGAGGAATCGACTTAATTAGGGCTGACATTGTTGAAAAATTTAGGCTCACAGCGCAATGTAAAAGACGAACTCTGGATTTTAAAAATTCTCGCCGTGTGAATAGTTATACTCAATTTGCGAGTAAATGTTCGCTACCCCTTGGAATAGAGCAGTAAAAACTTTTAAATGACTTTGGAACTTTTTTAATTTGTAAGTTCACACTATGATAAAGTGTTCACAGGTAGTTAGACATCAAAGTTTATTACTTGGATGTTTTGACGGATGGATGTTGTTGGTTTGACGTAAAACACCACATGACTTGAAATTACTAACTTCAGAACAGGGTTTTAACCATTTTACAACCTAGCTTTGGTGATGCTACAGGGCGAAAGTTTGAAGATGACCCGGAAAGATACCACTTAAGTCACAGAATGAAGCCTTTATTCTAGCAAACCTCCAACAGTCAACCATTTATAATTCGGAAAGTTATGCATGGTTCTATCCCAATGCTTTCTTTAAATATGATTTATGTAGAAAATAATAACTATGAAAAACCATACCATTCCACATGTAAAATGTTTGCTAAATTTGGCTAAAAATGGATGATAGGATGAAAAAATGGGTGATTCTTGACACCAGTGCCATCCGAAATCTTTTGTTGCTCAAAGTAAATAGCCAATCCGCCGGAAACGACGAAAATATTCACTGTCGAAAAGTGAAGTATTGCACTGACGGTCTCCGTATAGCTGATTTAAAGCGCAATTGGTTTTGCAGGAATTTTGGGTTAAGAAGTATTTCATCATAAATGTTTAAGTCGGCTTGTGCTTAACATTTACGAAGAATAGATGATGATAATCTCCTTAAACAGACCAAGCGAATAACTTGCACAAAGCATTGATGACAAGTAGGATTCCTCAGAGTGAAGTGTGATACTGACAATTTTGGCTCAGACTGGTCATGTGTGTAACTACTTAACTCAAGACTTTGGAATATTTGCTAATCCGCTAAGGATGAGTATGATTGAGGTGATGTAACTACTTAACTCAAGACTTTGGAATATTTGCTAATCCGCTAAGGATGAGTATGAATTGAGCTGATTACCAATATATCACAAGGGTATTTTATTCAACTGTGTATGTTCTATATCATGTTCAACGCTCCCACGAAACTCCAATCCCAGGCACTTCCAAAAAATCTTACTTCAGTGAGTGTAAACAAAAAGACATCTTAGGAGAAAACATGGTAATGAGGCTGCCTACTGACCGTAGTTTATCACTACCCGATAGGTTTAAAGCAAATCAATTACAGGTTATTCTTCATTGTGAACACAGAAGCAACATCTTAAGTTACGGCTGCAGAAGTAAATTTTGGTTAATATCACACGGAAATAACCTTGATACGCCAACCTGTTGCACTTAGGTTCGGGATAGCCTGAGGTAGTGTTCACCGGATTTCCTGAGTTTTTCGCTCCTCCTGCAGTATCAAGTAAGTTTGTTGAATGAATTTCGCTGAACAGGAATCAGGTTGCGTGTAACTCAGTCCTCTTACACAATTTTCAAATAGTAAAGTGACATTTTTCCAATGTGAAAGGTCAGTCAAACAGAAAGATGTAAAACGAAGAATGTTTGCAACATTCGAATTGTAATACTTTTTCCCCCTTTCAGGGTGTGAAACCAAAGAACGCCCCCGTGATTGTTACTATCCCAGATCTTGGCTGCAATCGTAAGCTGCTAATCAAAACTTATACATCGCATTATTTGTGCTATGTTGAACTGTGAATGTTGTTCTTGTTCTGTTTCATGACCTAGGCTGTGTGTTTGTAAGCATTTGATCACCATATTAAGTGAGGTTTACACAGTGGTTTTGTACGCCTGCATATCTGTGCGTGATATTTTCATCTGCCTGCTCGTACGGATTAACTTTAGTCCTCATTATTTGTTCGGGAAGAAGCCCTACTGGTTTCCTAAAAGATAAATAGGCTCAGTAATCACAAGTTTCAAGTAATGTGGAAATGAAAACAAACACGACGTTCGACACAAAAAGGTTAATATCTGGCTGCCACCATGGTATGAAATTGATGACTGTGCTAGGCAACTAAGGGGTTTGGGCAGACTATCGACGGAGCGAATTATGGTATTCGCACTGATAAGACGGGTGGAAATTGATCTTATACACCAAAGGGAACGTGCACCTATATTGATCATTTCAGACACACGTACAGTGTGTTACTGCTGTGCCCTCAAGAGTGCGGATTAGACGTGCACGTCAAAACGTTTTTGCAAGGTGTATGACCGCATTTTCAGACCTTATCTTGTTGTTTGACGGCGTGAACATCCCACGCGAGAGGTATGTGTAAACCATAAAAGTAGTGTGCGTATTTGTTAGGAAAGGTCACCCCATTTAATTCCCCTGTAAAAATCGGTCGTGTGGAACTAGTTTGTACAGGAATAAGCGAATTAAATAGGCAAACAGATTAGTCTAGCTAATTTTAGTGTGTCCGAAGATCACCGAGTGCGAATTCGAAACGACACGAAATATCTGATGAACGAACTCCCCTATCGAATCTTGTTTCGACTAATTGTACGTACATGTTATCATTCCCTGCGTGCGGACGTGCATTCATCCAACTTCTTACACCTACCTGATGAGTTTCCCTGCCGCTTTTCACGCTCCTCTCCCCTTTTCTGGTTTCTTTTTCTCTTTCCTATTTGGAGTTTTTGGCCGTCCGACTGCACCATATTCACAAAAGGCGCAGAAGTATATCTTCATACCAGTATTATTGTCATCATAATTGGGAGTGTAATCGTTTAGTAAATAAACTTCGTGCAAAACGGAGCAAGATGATGGACAAAGTAACTTCACCTTGCATCTCACCTGAAAAACTTGGGTTTGGATAAACAAATGTTGTGCGCTCACAAAGAACGATTAGAGGAAATAGGTTATCTTGACGCCAAATCTGGTAGCCATAACACTCCAGTTGCAAAAATGGAACTAAAGATGACCCAACTATCGGTACATTCGTTGTGGATAATGAATTATGCTTTCAGACAAAACATCTACGGTCTTTTCTGTAGCAGTTGTCCTTTTTTAGCTGTATTGGCTGTCACATTAAAAAGTTTGTATGAGCACAAACGAATTTCACTTCTACTGCTTTCGCTTGAACAAACTTCCTCTTGTTATGGTACAGCTATTCCAATAAATTCATTATGAAATTGCGGGGTAATGGACGTGTTTTTAACATTTGGTAGCTTAGTTCCCTAGGAATCTGACAGGCTGAACGATGGTGCGACCACCATCTAACTAGTTCAACTGACAGAACAGAGCAGTCGCGTGTGGACAAGCGATGTGTAGTTCAGAAGGATGACGACGATTTATGCAACGTCTTGAAATCAAATGACCTGTGTGGCAGGATTCCACAGATTTTCACTTCTGGTATTCCCTAATAAGGACAAAGTCTATGTCCCCACCTTTATTTGTTTGGGATTAACCCGAATGTTTGCGCTAGGGCAGAAAGTGGACTCATACCGCATGTGTGAAGTGGACACAACTCTGAAAACACACAACTATGACCAAGTAAGAAAGTTTGACCTCGTGAAACAATGCTATTCCGGTTTATCATCAGCTTTCTTCCGTTTGGTTTGTTATACCTGAATGCTGTTCTTGTTCCGGTGCCTAGTACCGGAGAACGAACACATAAGGAACCGATATGGAACACAACAGCTTTATTGCAAAAAACAAGCGTGCGAGTGCTTCTGTCGCATGACTGAACACTCGTGGGATTTTGATGAGTTGATGAAATAATTGATTAACCGGGATGCTTGCTGGCTTCTCACTGATATTTTGGTGGGTTTTTAGAATCTCAGTAGGTTTCGGGCGTTCTGGCGTTACGGGAATCCGACCTTCAGACAGTTTACAAACAACAGCGAGCTTTTTGGTAGGAATATAAAAGCCAGATTTTTCATAATTACCCAGAGCTACTTAGGGCCCACAATACAAGAAGCCAAATTTTCCCTATCCACAATAAACGATGGTCTCGACAATAGAAAGGAACCTCCGTTAAAATGAATTGTTATTTTCAAGGATGGAGTGCAAGCTATGTGGTAGAGAATGCTCCTCTGATTAGAATACATGCTCATGAGTTCCGGGGCAATTACGTCCAACAGATAAATTAGCTAAAACCTATCAACGCCAAAAGTTAACCTCTATGGTGACCTCTCTAACAATTCAAACCCCCAAATAATCCAGCTAGTTGAGGTGGCCCAAAATGGCTGGTAATAAGCCGGAAAAAGAATAAATGAAACTGTCAGTAAAACGTTCTTCTGTGAACTAGTTTCTCGAGGAGCCAGTCAGCATGTGATCGCATTATATATTCACACTCTGTATGTTAATCCCACCGACGTCTGAAAGAGTAGATGTCCGTAGTTCGCGCTCTTCAGTCCCTAAGTTTCTTAAGGTGCGCACTAACGATGGGTCTCGATATGATACAACTGTGCAACATTCCTCGGTATTTCAGTACAGACTCGCAGGGAGGAATATCCGTCGTCTGAGTGCTGCAAGTTTTCGGATAATGATTACACTGTGATGAATTTTAAAATAAATGCCCTTTCAATTAGGAGTATTGCTCATTTGAATAATATCTGCCAAAATTTCCGTCAGTCTTATCGGTGACGCTTTATTTAGCACTCAGGCAAAAAGCTAGTCACACGGCGAAAACGTGGTCAATGGAATTCGGCGTAATGCTGGCTTGCTCGGTGAGGGTTTAGTTGCCCATAGGAAACTAAATCTACCACCAGTATTGCGCTACCATATGTACGTGTGTGAGATGTGATACATATCCTTTTCATGTCACAACATATTTTTTCAATGTGCTATTCTACACTTTAAGATGCTTAAGGCTGCAGAAGTAAGTGACTTGCGTTATAAATGTCATCTTAAGCTTACTTCAGCACAGAAATCAGCTATGAACGGTCAGGGTATAGGTAGTAGAGAAACCCAGACCCAGGTCAAACCCCAAAAGGGATGAAATTAGATGTGTTTACAACAAAAACTGCCTTCAGGAGTTTGGTTATTTCAACGCACTTAATATCAATTTACTACTCTTCTATTCAAGTAGTTATGAGTTGTTCTCCTACTCGCTGATTAAGGACCTTAAATTCTAGTCATCGTGCTATCTTCGCAAATGTGGGCGGAAAAAACGCCCGTCCTTTGTGTTAAACATTGTGTATTTGTACCGGTGATAAATTTGCTGTTTTTAGTTGGTTTTGAAACCCAAGTTTGGAATATTTTTGAGTCCTGCTCTACGATTGCTTCAGCCAATATTCTTTATAAATGTAGTTCCCAAATCAATTAGGTTGCAACCTACTGATCAGGCAGTCTTTTGAAAGCTTTTCCTATGGAAAGGCAGCCATCTAGTCAGCATGGTTCAGAATTTCACGTAGGTTACACTATCACTTGTTTTTGAACAGCGAGCGATGAATGCGAAAGAGTAACAGGAGAATATGGGAGAAAAGACAGAAACGTCCCATTCGAAATCATGCCAAGAACAGTTCCAGTCGGATGAGATAAATCACAAAGAATGTAATGATTTTGATATGGAGACACGCGCCTAAAGACCAAAAACCGAAGAAAGGGCAAACAATGGTGAATGCTGTTCAAGGTGCGGTAGGCGCTAGCACGGTCAACACTGGCGCATCAGGCACAGAGTGTCCGTCATAATGAGTCTGGTGTGACATTCAGTGGCGAAAATGTACAGTCAACGCCATGTGACACGCATAATAGTGTCATAGGTACGCAGAGAGCCCACAATGGCAAGCAAACACAAGTCGCTGAGCGCGACCTTAGGAAGTCCCAGTCCAATAACAGCCTTAGCGAATTGAGGAAAGCAGATCCCCGATAAGAGATGATCATCGGTTGGTGAACCAAAAAGTCGACACCATAACCGATGGCATGGAGGACTGAGATTATGGCGATGGAATATTCATCAGCACCATAATTCTTCTCATTCCACACAGTCACTTCACGCCCATCCGAGAATATGCTGACGTCTATTACGGTTGCACGGCGATCTCGAACAGCGATTAGGTCAGGTTTGATGAAGGACGTCGAAGGTGGACCTCTCAACTCCTCAAAGACGGTGTATCCCAGTTGACGGACATTTTGCGAGTTCCCTTGCAACCCGATTATGACGAACAAAGCTGTCGTCATGCGTGATCCAGCAGGATTGCAAAATATGCACCAATCTCTCCGGTTGGCTACAGTTTCCACGACATAAGATCGTCTGGCCACCATGACCATGCCGATCAATCTCGTCCTGAGGAGGTTGCATCGGAGCTGTGAACCGCGGATAAATATCCGTAGAAACACTCGTTCGGGAGAGGCGAAGCGACCAACTCTCGTAAACCGCAACCGTCAACGTTGTTGTGCAGACTATCACCCAAAGCAGCCACCAGCCCTTCCTTGGTGTCAACGCATGCACCATGAACTCGGATCGGAAGGCTGAGATCCCGAACAAGTTTGCCAAACGCGGAATCGTTGACCACTTTGCATAGCACTCGGAACTGGGTAGAAAGGAGCTTTTTCCAACGCGCTCTTCGGTGCATCGAGATTGTTGTACTCGGACTTGGGATACCAAGTGCCGTATGTTGTTTGCCGGCGTAGATGCAGCTGATTAAGGTGTCCTTCGGTAGACGTAGCCAGCCACAAATACATTGCCTGACGTAGTTATCTAATCTTTTGAGCGTGTGCCGGTGAACTTGGGGGAGCACGAGCGAATATGTCAGCATTAGTATCAGGTAGTTCCTCGTGATATCCATTCTTTGATGCGGCTTCAACGGGGCACGCGTCACTTCTTGGAGCAGTGTGAGCAGGTGCTGTCAGTGGTTGAAGAGCCCTTTCCTCTTGGAAGTAAAGAGAATGCCCAAATACGTTACGGTGTCTGTCGGACCCAGGGCAGTGATGAGTTCCTCGGCGAAGCGAAATGGTTCGACTCGGACTGCTGTTGCCCGATGTTTCCTGTTCTCACAAATAAACATCACTCTCGTCTTTCATGCCAGCTCTTCCCAACTCGACCGCAGCCCCTTCAAGCTTCTCTTCAAGGCGTGCCTGACAATTTGCACAAACGACCGAGTCGTCAGCGAAAGCGAAACCATCTACTAAGGGTCATGGAACTGGTATCTCAGTTGCGGCATCGATAATCCAAGAACCTCATCCATTGCCATAATGAATAATAATGGGGAGAGTGGATCTTCTTGCCTCACGCCTCTGTGGCAGTGAACCTCGGGACTGGGGAAAACTGCCACATCATTCTCACAGTACTGTTCGATGTATCGAACTAGAAGTGACGGTGCTCCAAACGCCTCGGCATATCCGACGATTGTGTCAAACGCTATCAGGATATCGACAAACGCCAAGCTGAGGTTAGAGGCGGTCCATGAAGAGTGACCAAGCAGGGCATGCAACAGCGATGTGGCTTCCAAACAGCCGTCTCGATGCAGAAATGCAAACTGACGTGGAGGCAGTTGCAATCTACGACTCCAGCGATCAGCAAACACCTTATGGAAGCAACGAACAAGAATGGATGACACGGAGATCGGTCTGAGTTGATCTGGTGAAATCGGATGTGGGACCTTTGAAACTAGAGTAATACGGCTTAACACAGTTGTGGGGGACAACTCCAGATAATAGCAGTAGGTTGAAATACCCAGCGAGCACGTTAACATTAAACCGGGAGTTTGAGCTTGTCCAGGCCTGGGGACGAATTGCCCATTAAACGGATCGTACGCCCGACTTCCTCTCCTGTAATTAGCTCCATCAAGCTCCAGTCGGACGGTACTACTATGCGACTTGGTCGGCTATGTGCATATTTTGGAGCTGAGAGCACTTGTTTTCAATACTGCTCGGCGTCCAGAGGTAGGCCGCAGTTACCTTTGTCCAAATCCTTCCATGAGCCATCGAGCGTTTCGGTTGTGTAACGCGTATTTCCACTGAAGAATGTGTCCAGCACCAGAAGCTGCGTTGCGTGAGACATGTGTTACGTATGCCGAACCATCGCTTGCCGAAGAGAGTGCTGTTCTCCATGCCCAACTCAGAGTGACGTAAACAGAGAGGTGACCAACCCTTGGGTACTGTCGGTGCTACTCGCCTTCCAGGATGGGACCGCGTGATCCTCACTGTGCCTGGTTGGAGACACTAAAGATATAGGTGCCAACCGATGTCAGTGGCGTTCTTGTTGTTAGTTTGTAGGTGTAGGCACCTCGGAATGATTGTTATAAGCTAGCAGTGAGTCCCTTCCACATCCACCTTTAACCTTTTCTTTACAATAAGGCTTTGGAATAAATCATGGTTGTACGGCAGTGAAGCATCATTGTTGAACACTGATGTCATGCCGTCGATGATGATCATGATGATGATAATGATAATGATGATGATGATGATGATGATGATGATGATGATGATAACTCATTGATCACAGCAGACGTTGCATCTTTGCGTCTTTGGTGGATTAGGGTCTGGATGGCGGCGTAGTTAGCTCGGCGGATCTGCTTTCGGTTGACCGGGATCCAATTGGCCAATTGACGGTGGCGTCATGATACAGTTTTCAAGGTGTCTGGAAATGTCCTGGAGGCGTGGAGGTCCAGAAGCGACAGGACTTGCTCCGGTGTCATGATGCCAGACTGCAACCCTCGAGCAAATGCCAGAAGGTCAACACAAGCAAGCGAACGGTCAGTATAAGATTCGAAGGGTGACACGGCGCAATCCACGGTTAGTTTAAACTAGGCGCTATAGTCATCGGCTTTTGACGAGTAGGCCGTCATTTGACTGGTAGTTTGGTCAGGTCCACCAGATGATTCATCCTCTTGTGCTTGCCAGTTAATCACCCATAACCTGGTTTTGATAATGATAGTCGATCCACCAGGAAAATACTGCTCCAATCTCGTGAACAGCTCGGTCCGCGTGCTACAAGATGGATATAATTTGTTAACCGGGAGTAAGAGCGATTGTGACTCTTGTTTGGACCAGCGGGTACCTGAAAATTTCACTAGGCCAAGCTTATCTGCATTATGTTAGGTGCGGCGTGCGTGTCGACGATGTTGACTTAGGCCAATCTTCGTCGGAAAAAGACAGGAACAATCAGCGCGGACCAATTGGGCAACCATTTTCGTACCAACACTTTCATTGCCGTGAACTCGATTCGCAGCACTTGCCTCACACGTGAACCCAACGACTCTCTCCTGTGTACTGGTGGAAACTGGTCTCAAGGCTCCAGATGATTCGTAAGTTCGTAAGATGATTGGAAAGTAACGAGCACATTGAAACCAAACGGGATGATTAGCCCCGTCTGGAGTTACTGAAATCTTAGCTCACCCAGACTGACTTTCAGGCTACTCAGTCGGCACCATGAGGATGTGATTAAGCTCGCCAACTATCGTATACCATAAAGGACAATACGATGAGCGACTTGTTTTACTGGTTTCCTGAAATGCAGTTACATGTCGTTGCTGGGCAGTACTAATTTTAGATTAGATAGTGAATATGTGACTGCAAGTGAATCTTCGCAGGTTGAGCGAGATATTCCGAAGGTAAAAAATAAAAGTAATTTACCGTTGCAACTTTTGTTCTATGACTGCTTTAATAGACGCCTATTCTGCCTTCAGCCCAGCCGCATCCAAGGTTCATATCAACTTAAGACGGACCAAAAAACAAGCTGCTGGTATGTTCGTCTGATATCTTTGTAGTCATGTTACAAAGCAAACCTGAATTACCATAGCTCACAAGCTATACGTATTAGATATCAAGAATGTGCCTTGAGACTGCGTGAGCGAAAAATACGCCAAATATGATTTACCTCGGGTTGTAGACGGGACCAATTTTATATAAAGTGCGATTTTTCATCAAACAAAATATTTTGTTCCTCTTTCGGTGTACAGTTGTTTTTCTGCTTTAGCGGCCAAGCAAGACTGGGCTGTTAAGCTTGATTTCGTGATGGCATTAGTGACAGAGGAAGTTCACAAAGTTGACGTTAGTATGCTTCATCTAAAACTTAGCAAGCGAAGCCGCAGCTTTAAGCAAAGATAATTTTTGCGTGAGTAGGTAGTCTGCCCGATTCCTACATCTTTGGCTGTGCAATTCAGCGAAAATTATTTGGAGACACATTTTACTCTGGATCACACTGTTGGGTGTATCTTCATAATTTTTCGTACACAAATTCACCATTTATTTCATCCCCATTTTACGATTTACTCAAAACTACAAAGGTAATTGTTCAGCAGTAATTATACCCTGGCTAAGAGAAAACAGTTGACTGAAGATTTCTACATAAATTTTATCCCTTTCCTCATTGTTCTCGTGTCATCACTGATTCATGACTGACACTGTCATTGTCGAAACCAAATCGCGCACGGAGTCCGTCTATGGTTTCATTGAGAAAACTTAAGGCTTATAAATTCAACACGGAGGCAATGTCAGGCCACAATATCAATTGAAAAAACAAGCAAAATAATGGAAGGGTGCCTCCAAGGGGAACCATACGCACCCTAATTTGGCAAATATAAGAGCTAAAAAAACAAAGAGAATGGTGCCGGTAAATCTGTTAAATTTTTGATTCTTTTGGAAGAAAGGATGACGGTGGTTGATATGGGATTTTGATACAAAATATGAAAATCTGACTACCTTTCATAATACATCTACAGTAAATTTTTAGGACATTTGAGATCATTGTAAGGGTATGTGTAGAAATCGGCAAAAATATCACACCTAACAAACAAGGCTATAAATTGTCATGTCTCCATTACTGTTAACATTAATGAAAAACCGTTTTCGGTACAGCATTCCATCTTCTTTGACATTTTGATTAGGTTTGCGATCGGCAATAAAGAGCCACTTTACAATACTTATTACAAACCTGATTTGAGTGGATGCATAACGCTGTGTCAATTGCTTTCTCTAGTACTGTCAGTCTGCAGTAATTATCGATACCCATTCAAAGTCTGTTTATGCAACTTACATTTGGAATAATTTGCACAAGTAATAATAAGTACGTATGTGAATATGTATGTATGTAAGTATTATTTTCTGTTTTTTTTTCAACTAGCCAACAGTGTTTGCTACTTGATGAATTCCGAGTCAGTTTTTTCGATTCAAATTCAGTTTTGGTACCAACACCTCGCTTCTCAACAAATATTTTTCAACCAGGGCTAAATTAAATAAGGTTAGTGATACAAATTAGTAATTAGAGTCATCATTTATCTACACAACGTCTATTTCCCAGATGAGGTGAGCTGGATTTACTTTGTTTC